CCACACCTCCCAAATCCGAATGCCCCCTTTCTTTCCCATGTTCTTATGGGGCTTCTCAGCCACAGGTCTTCTCCTACTGAGCAATGCATAGCTGAGCCCCCTCCAGATGTTTGGACCTAGAAGCTGGTTGCCCCAAACATCTGGACTTGGCAGAGGGGAGCACAGATGGAGGGCCTGGCACTCCTGTCCTGAGAGAGGAGAGGCAAGAGCAAGCGACCCTCGCAGCTCCTCCATCTCTACTCACAGCTCAAAATAATGTTCTTTATTAGGCGATGATCTGTGTGCTTCCTTCCCCCAGGATCACCCTCCCTTTCTCTTCCTCTTCTGCTCTCCTTCCTTCCTTCCTTCCTTCCTTCCTTCCTTCCTTCCTTCCTTCCTTCCTTCCTTTTTTCCTCCTGCCATTGCTTCCTTCACCTGCCTTTAATCTCCATACAATAAGAGGGGCCATTATCCAGCCAGTATTCTGTGGAAAAAATGATGTTTCTGACCAGTAAAAGACTGGTTTTTAACCCGGGCAACTGTGTTTTGCTTCATGGTGGGACTTTCCCTTGTTGCAAATGTTCTTAAAAGAAGGAACAGGGTTTGTTTCTTGCGGATGATTTTGCAAGGGTCAGATGGGGACTTTTTCTAGGCATGGCAGAGGGATTGCCCTTCCTTTGTATATGGCTTGAAGTTGTCTGGTCTATCAGAGTATGTTGGCACGGCAGGCGTCCGTTCCTTCAAAACTTTGGGTCTCCTGCTTCCAGCAGGGCAAGAATTTATGGATTATATTGGAGGCAAATCTTTTCTGTATGGTTCTTGGATCATTTTCCCACCAGGACCCCTGAATGTTGTGGTTCTCCTTCTTTTCTCTTTGCATTTCCATCAGTTGTAGACTTAAGCCACACACCATACGCTAGAAAGATGATAAGAGGTGGCATTCATGCCAAGCAAACTGATTGATAATGACTTCTATTATTGCTTTGTCTGATCAAGAATTCAGTGGACTTTGAAAGCTTGCATTTTTTTTGTGCCTTCTGTTTGGTCGAAGGCAGGTATCACCCTTGTGTATTTTGGATTTTGTTGCAAATAGTCAATGCGTGGTTTCTTGGGTCAATCAAAAAAGTATATGTTTTGCAAACCAGGTTTATTCTCTTGGTTATCAGACAAAATATCTACATGTAGTAAAGGAAGAGTACAAAGATCTTAACCAAGCAACAAGCACAGTTAAATTTGAAAATCAGGACTGGAAGTTACTATTGTATGTTGTGTGTAAATGCGGATATGAATGTAAGAATTATTGTAAGGTTTGTGGTGTTTTTTAAAATAATAAACAAATAAACAATAAAAGAAATATATACCGTAAGTAAATAAAAATAGCCAATACAGCTACTCATGCATTTTCCCTTTGAGCAGGAGGATAATAATGATACTAATGGATATTATTACTGTTGTTGTTGTTGTGTGCCTTCAAGTCATTTCCGACTTACGGTGACCCTAAGGCAACCCTATCATGGGGTTTTCTTGGCAAGTTTCTTCAGAGAGGAGTTTGCCATTGCCTTCCCTTGAGGCTGAGAGAGTATGACTGAGCAGGGATTCGAACCCTGGTCTCCAGAGTTGAAATCAAAGGCTCAAACCACTTCACCACACTGGCTCTTTAGCTTTTTTAATATCCCACCTTTTCCCCCAAAACTGGGACTCACGATGGCTTACACATTTAAAAGATTACAATTCAAAAACATACCAAACAATCAGCGTTAAAACCAAATGAAACTACTAAACCTATTAAAAACATATACTTTTAAAAAGATTTTAAAAGTTGGGCTATACAGTTTCAAAGTAATACGGCTCTTATAGCCCTGTGCTTCAAAGCCAGCAATTCTATAAGCCTGTCAGAACAAAAAAAGGTCTTCATTCCCCAAAAGGAAGGACTGATCCCATCTTCCAGTTACATTCGAACTCAAGACCGTGGTTAACAGTTGCCAAGCAAACCAGGATCCAGAAGCCAACTTTTCAATTTTAAAGGAACTATAAAAAGTGTTAAACTTATTGGGAGGAAGGAAAGCTAGAGTTAGACATCCCCGTACTTAGTGTAATGGTTTCAGTGGACTCTAGAGAACCAGGGTTTGAATCCCACTCAGCGGCAGAAACCCACCCTGGCCAAGTCACACTTTCTCAGCCTCAGAGGAAGGCAATGGCAAACCTCCTCTGGATAAATGTGGCCAAGGAGATGGGTGCAGAAAGACGCACATAACTAGAAAGCCCATATCGAGGATCTGTGACCGGCTAAAATCATCCAGACAAGCATGTCTTTGGGGTCTGCTACTTTCACTTCGGTGGAAGGATGTGCCAAGGTCCAGCCTTCCCAGAGGAAAGGCAAGGGCATGCCACAACGGCATATGCTTTTAGGAAAAAGGAGGAGATCTGCAGGGAAGCAGGACATCTGGAAGAAGATTGGACTATGCAGCTTCTCCCTGATATGCTAGTTTTCTATGAGCAGGGACTTTTGAGGAAAAGGCCTGGTTGAGATTCCAGACACAGGTTATATGTTACAGTCAGGAACTAACTGACATAGAAGCGTAGAGCTGGAAGAGGGCCCCAAGGGTCATCCAGTCCAACCCCCTTCGGACATGCAGGAAGACACCACCCAAGCTCTCCCTGGGACAGAGGGCCACCCAGTCTCCATTTAAAAACTTCCAAAGAAGGAGACTCCACCAATCTCCAAGGCAGAAGCATCTTCCACTCTTACTGTCAGAACGTTCTTCCTAATGTTGAGGTGGAATCTCTTTTCCTACAGTTTCCTGGAGAAGAGACGGTTAAGAGGTGATAGGATAGCCCTGTTTAAATATTTGAAAGGATGACACATTGAGGATGGAACAAGCTTGTTTTCTACTGCTCCAGAGAATAGGACACAATGGAGCCTCAATGGATGCAAGCTGCAGGAAGAGAGATTCCACCTCAACATTAAGAAGAACATTTTGAAAGTTAGAGCTGTTTGACAGTGGAACACACTCCTCCTTCTGCAGCCCTACATTCTCTCAAATGCATTGATTTTCCTCCTGTCTTCTTTCGTAACTATCCAGCTCTAACATCCATCCATGAGAATAGGGAATACAAGGGCTTGTATGATTCTAGCTCTTGTGCTGAGTTGTATATCTTTGCATTTTAGGATCTTTCCTAGTTCTTTCATAGCCCTCCTCCCCATTCTTAATCTTCTCCTGATTTCCTGACTGCAGCCCCCATTTCTATCAAGGTTTGATCCTAGGTGTGACAACTCTTTTACTCTTTCTATTTCTTCATTGTCTAGGTTGAACTTGTGAAGGTCCTCGGAGGTCATTATCTTTGTTTTCTTTATGCTCAGCATTAAGCCTTCCTTTCCACTTTCTTCTTGGATCTTCCTTAGGAGGTGCTCCAGGTCCATGAGGTTTTCTGCTAGTAATACCGTGTCATCTGCATATCTTAGATTGTTGATATTCCTTCCTCCCATTTTTACTCCTCTTTCTTCTGTATCCAAACCTGCTTTTCTTATAATATGTTCTGCATATAAGTTGAACAGA